CCAAATTAAAAAAAAATTGGAATAACCCCATGTATCTTATTAGATCACCATGGTTTAAAATTATAATTCAACAGCAATACTAATTCCAGAAAGTCCACAAACACATGGAAATTAAGCAATGCTCACCTGAATCATCAATGGGTCAAGAATAAATAAAGGGAGAAATTTAAGACTTTCTAAAAGTCAATGAAAATGAATGCACAACATACGCAAATTTATGGGACACAATGAATGCAGTGTTAAGAGGAAAGTTTATAGCACTAAATGCCTACATAAAGAAGTTGGAAAAATCTCACACTAGTGGATTAACAGAACATTTGAAAACTTTAGAACAAAAAGAAGCAAACTCACCCAAGAGAACTAGACAGCAAGAAATAATCAAATTGAGAACTGAAATCAACAAAATAGAAACAAAGAAAACAATACAAAGAATCAATGAGACAAAAAGTTGGTTCTTTGAGAAAATCAACAAAATAGACAAACCTTTATCCAAACTAACCAAAAGACAGAGAGAGAATATCCAAATTACCAAAATCAGAAATGAAAAGAGAGACATAACAACAGACATGGAGGAAATACAGAGAATCATCAGGTCATATTTCAAAAACCTGTACTCCACAAATTTGGAAAACTTAAAGGAAATGGACAAATTTCTGGATAAATATCACTTACCAAAATTAAATCAAGACCAGATAAGCAAATTAAACAGATTTATAACTGCTGAAAAATAGAAACAGTCTTTAAAAGTCTCCCAACCAAAAAAAGCCCTAGATCAGATGGTTTCAGCTCAGAATTCTACAAGATTTTCAAAGAACTAATACCAATACTCCTCAAATTATCCCACACAATAGAATCAGAAGGAACATTGCCAATCTCTTTTTATGAGGCTACAATTGCCCTAATACCCAAACCACAGAAAGATATTACTAAGAAAGAGAATTACAGACCAATCTCACTCATGAACATTGATGCAAAAATATTAAATAAAATACTGGCAAATCAAATCCAAGAACACATCTGAACTTGATCCACCATGATCAAGTCGCTTCATTCCATGAATGCAGGGATGGTTCGACATATGAAAATCTGTAAAAGTAATCCACCATATAAATAAACTAAAAAATGAAAACCGCATGATGATCTCATTAGATCCTGAAAAAGCTTTCAATAACTTTCATGATAAAGGTCTTGGAGAAAGCAGGGATACAAGGAACATACCTAAATATAATAAAGGTGATATACAGCAAGCCAACAGCCAACATCAAACTAAATGGAGAGAAACTCCCAGCGATCCAACTGAAATCAGAAACAAGACAAGGTTGTTCACTCTCTCCATATCTATTCAATATAGTTCTTGAGGCCCTAGCTAGAGCAATAAGACACCAAAAGGACATCAAGGGGATACAAATCAGAAAAGAAGAAGTCAAACTCTCACTATTTGCTGATGATATGATAGTTTACATAAGCGGCCCCAAAAATTCTACAAAAGAACTTCTACAACTCATAAACACTTTTAGTAATGTAGCAGGATACAAGATTAACTCAAAAAAAAAATCAGTAGCCCTCCTGTACACAGATGATAAATGGGCTGAGAAAGAAATCAGAGAAACATCATCCTTCACAGTAGCCACAAATAGCATAAAATATCTCAGAGTAACTCTAACAAAACAAGTGAAAGACTTACATGACAAGAACTTTAAATCTTTGAAGAAAGAAATTGAAGAAGACACCATAAAGTGGAAAGATCTCCTATGCTCTTGGGTAGGTAGAATTAGCATAGTAAAAATGGCAGTCTTACCAAAAGTAATCTACAGATTCAATGCAATGCCCATCAAAATTCTAGCAAAATTCTTCACAGACCTCTAAAGAATGGTTCTCAACTTCATATAAAAAAGCAAAAAACCCAGGATAGCCAAAATAATCCTGTACAATAAAAGAACTTCTGGAGGCATCACAATCCCAGATTTCAAGCTCTACTACAGAGCTACAGTACTGAAAACAGCCTGGTATTGGCATAAAAACAGATAGGAGGACCAATGGACCAAATCGAAAATCAAGATATTAATCCACACACCTTCAAACACCCGATTTTTGACAAAGAAGCAAAAAATATCAAATGGGAAAATGAAAGAATATATAACAAATGGTGCTGGCATAACTGGATATCAACATGTAGAAGTATGAAAATAGATCCATATCTGTCACCATGCACAAAACTCAAGTCCAAACAAATCAAAGACCTCAACATAAAGCCAGCCACATTGAACCTTATAGAAGAGAAAGTGGGAAGGACACTTGAACGCATTGGCACAGGAGACCACTTCCTAAATATAACCCCAGCAGCACAGACACTGAGAGAAACAATTAATAAATGGGACCTCCTGAAACTGAGAAGCTTCTGTAAAGCAAAGGACATGGTCAACAAGACAAATGACAGCCTACAGAATGGGAAAAGATCTTCACTAACCCCACATCAGACAGAGGTCTGATCTCCAAAATATACAAAGAACTTAAGAAATTGGTCGTCAAAAGAACAAATAATCCAATTAAAAAGATGGAATACAGACCTAAACAGAGAACTCTCAACAGAGGAATCTATAATGGCTGAAAGACACTTAAGAAAATATTCAACATCCTTAGTCATCAGAGAAATGTAAATCAAAACAACTCTGAGATTCCATCTTTCACCTGTAAAAATTGCCAAGATCAAAAACACTGATGACAACTTATGCTGGAGAGGTTTTGGAGTAAAGGGAACACTTCTTCATTGCTGGTGGGAATGCAAGCTAGTACAGCTTCTTTGGACGTCAGTGTGGTGATTTCTCAGAAAATTAGGAAACAACCTTCATCAAGACCCAGTAATACCACGTTTGGGTATATGTCCAAAGGATGATCAATTGTACCAGAAGGATATGTGCTCAACTATGTTCATAGCAGCATTGTTTGTCATAGCCAGAACATGGAAACAACCTAAATGCCCCTCGACTGAGGAATGGATAAGGTAAATGTAGTACATTTACACAACGGAGTACTACACAGGAGAAAAAAAATAACGACATTCTGAATTTTGTAGGAAAATGGATAGATCTAGAAAACATCATTTTGAGTGAGGTAACCCAGACACAGAAAAACAATTGTCATATTTTCTCACTCATAAGTGGTTTTTTTTTAACATAAATCAAAGAAAACCAGCCCACAAAACACAATCCCAGAGAACCTAGACAACAATGAAGACCCTAAGAGAGACATACATAGATCTAATCTACATGGGTAGTAGAAAAAGACAAGATCTCCTGAGTAAATAGGGAGCATGGGGACCTTGGGAGAGGGTTGAAGGGGAGAGGAGAGGCAGAGAGTGGAGCAGAGAAAAATGTAGAGCTCAATAAAAATCAATAAAAATTTGTATAGGGAAAAAATTCAAATAATGGAAACAGTCTTCCTTAAAAATTTACCAGAAGTGTTATCATTAGTAATCAGCAGATTTTATTTATAGAACAATTTATTGGTTCATTTTCACTAAGACAAATATATCATCTATTAACAAGGGTGTCCGTGTGTGTGTGTGTGTGTGTGTTTGTGTGTGTGAGAGAGAGAGAGAGAGAGAGAGAGAGATAGAGAGAGAGAGAGAGTGAGTGTGCGTGTGTGTGTCTGTATGTGTCTTTCTCTGTGTGCATGTCTGTGTCTGTAGTACCAGAGATCCAACCTTGGGTCTTTGTGTCTCTAAGCCATAGATAAGTCCTACCAGATTCTCTGATAATGCCACTGTTCAGTTTTATGGGAATAATTAACCATATTCAATAGTTTATAGACCAAATAGAAATAGTTTGTACTTTCTGTTCCTTTCCCCATTATTTTAAGTGCCCCCCAAAATTAATATAGAGCTCCAAAAAGGAGAGAAGCTGTTTAATGATAATGTAAATGAAACTATATAGATTTTTCCAAAATCATGGTTATGATTTTGATTTATAGTTATGAAAATTTTCCTTGTCATGTGATCTGGGAAATAAAATAAGTAGTAGCCGCTATGTCGATATTGAGGATGGTAGCTAGATTACTCTAATTTACTGTACGTGATATTTTCTAGAAAGTTTGTTTGGTTTTGTTTTGGTAGCATAGTCTAGTTTCTAACTCCTGGCAATCGTCGCACCCTCCCAGTGCAGAGATTACAGGTGTGAGGCACCAAGGGAAGAAAGTTCTTTCAAAGTATTTTCAGATGATTTTTTTTCTCTGCAATTTCCTCCTTCATCCTAGAGTTGTTGATTATATCTCCTGCAAATTCTCACTAAAGAACTGCTTCCTATTTTAACAAAACTCCAAACAAAAAGAAACCCTATTCTGCCATTTCCGGTTTAGGGAAACTTGAAACTTCTCTCCAGCCCTCCTCCACATCGCGCAGCCTTTCAGAACACACTGAATTCCTGCGACTAAGGTTAAAAAAAAATCACTTACTTCATTTAGGTGTCTTAAAATACACAAAGCTTTGATAACGTGGGTTTAAAAAATTTAAACTAGTGTCCGATTCAACACAAAGCTAGCTTTCAGCTGTGTTATTTGCATACATTTCTCAGCAGGAAGTAACACGCAAAACTTCTGGTGTCCAAGGGAAAAGGTCCTTTATTCTAACCAAGTGCAATTCAGGATCCTTTGCTCCCCTCCCCCTTATTTTTCTTCCCCCTCCCTCGCCCCCTTCCAGGAGAGGGAATAGTCAAAAAGAATTGTTTCAACAGATCTCGCGGTGCTGTTCGAGATCCTGTGTTTTAAAAAAACAATTTAGAAATGATGCAAATGAGCCTGAGCCTTCCGGGGTTTGGGGCTGGGACTGCAGTGCTGGAAGCTCATTGAAAGCAGCCACTGGTGGAGGCTGGGCTCTGGCCAGTTCCCCTTCGACCTACCCCCACCCTCCTCTTCCAACCTCTGTTTGGCCCCTTGCTGTTCCAGTCGTTGCTGCAGCTGTTTCTCAACACTCTTCAAGACTCCAGCGACCGACCTCAAGGTCTTGTTTCCAGGATGGTGATCCGTGTATATATTGCATCTTCTTCTGGCTCTACGGCGGTAAGGAGAGTGGGAGCCCACCTTTGTTGTTTTCCAACACACTAGTCCTCCTCTGCCCCAGAACCGTTAAATTGCACAAGTTACACTGGAAGCTTCTCCTTCGAAGACGCAAGCATCGCCTACTACACCCTCCTCCTCGTCTTTCCTTTCTTCCTTTGTTGTGTCGATTTCATTTTTTTTTTCGTGGAGTTAGCTTTGTTCGCCTTGAGACATTAGTACCATATTTCGTTTCTAAAAGAAAAATAAAGAAAAAAAGAAAGGAAGAAAACTACTGAGTTTAGGTAGATGGGAGGAGATAACTGCTTTATGGATTTCAAGGTTAGGTGAAGTCAAGTGAAATAAAAAACAATGCCTTTCAGGCTTTCAAGAGTGAGGCATTTAACAAATATGCCCTAAGTACCGAGTTCAGGGAAAGTGCTGTTTCTGTAAAGGATGGAGCCACTGATGGGAAGGGACTGAAAGACTCCTGAGGCACTCAGATTATTGTGAAATCACTGTAATGACATTATTTTGAGAGCATGTAGACAGGGCATATAACACTAAAAGAAAAAAAGAAAACAGAAAGTCAGGAACAGTGATATAAATGGTTTCTTCTTCTTCTTCTTCTTCTTCTTCTTCTTCTTCTTCTTCTTCTTCTTTCTTTTGGTGTGGGTGGGTGTTTTTATTTAATGTAGTGTAAGACATGTCGCCCATATTGGCTCTTATTTTGACTTTTTCTTTTCCTTCAAAAAAATTTTTAAAAAACACTACTTGAAGAGACTGGGTAAAGAACACGTGGCAACTGAGTTGCTGCCTCTTCCTAGGATATGATTTTCTTCCTCGATTCATCTGCCAACTGTTAACTTAGAATACCAGTTTTTAGCATATCTGAGGAGGATTGGGTAAACTGAGGTGAAAGCTGAATACATACTCCTGGTAAATGAAAGAGCCTCTGTTCTGTTCTTGCAATCCCAGGGATAAAAACAAGGGGCCAGCAGTGGCCAGAGCAGATGTGTGGGCTTTGGAACTGGAATGTAGAAACCTTCTCTAGCTTTAGAGTGGTGGAGATCCCAGGTTGTTGGGTTGTTTATCTTTACATTTAAGAGGATTTGGAATAGAACTGACGGTTACATGAAATCAGCAGAACCTTGAACCTTGAACTTTGTCTCTTGCCAATATGTGTGGGTGCGCATAGACTGTATGTTAGCATGTAAGAAAACTTACCCCGAGAGTTATTGAACATTTTGTTTGAAAAAATAGAAGTGTTTGTTATTTCCTTGGGACCCCATTTTAGAAGCCTCTTGGCCTCCATAGATAACATTCTGATGTTTCAAAGTAAAGCATGCGTGACTAAATATTAATCTACTACAATAACTGCATTTTCAAGAACCACTTTAATGCCTTTGGTTAATCCTTATTAGGTTGAACCTCTCAAGCATGTAGGTTTTTTTTTAATGTGGTGGCTTGCAGTTTCAAAACTGCTGTTTGTTCTTTGCTTTCTTTCTCTTTTGTCTTCCAGAAGTAAACTCAAGGAAAAGCTGCTTTAAGAATTTCATCAACTACTAGAGTTACACCCTCTTTCTTTCTTAAGACTTCAATTTCTAAGTGCCCAAGAAGAGATTAAGACTTTTATTACATTATTTACGTGATGGATATTCATGGTATTTGTGTTTAGTTTCTATTTTTTTTCATGGATTTTAAGGACTTGTCCATTCTTTCACAATTTCCATTTTTATGAAAATGCCCATTTTCTATTTCATAGTGCCAAAATAAATGATTTCTTCATTATAATCTTGCATTTATTTAAAAACAACCCTAAAAGAGTATGAAGAGAGTGTCTTTGAGGAGCCCTTCTTTATGTGAGTGGGGTGCTGGTTATTTATTGGAGAAAGGAAATTTCTTTTATGATAGCAAAACTTTCCTTTAACATAGCAAAAACATTGTCATTTAAACAAATTATTTAGAAATTTGAAGGCAGATGTTCTGATGGAATCTAAAAATATTGAAAAGATATATTTCTGTGAGTTATTATGTAACTGATGAGTGTTTGAAGTTTCTTGGCTTTGGCTTAATGATCTGTATTGAATGTTTTGCCTGCATATGCACATACTATATGCATGCCTGATGCTCATGGAGACCAGAAGAGCGTGTTGGATCTCATGGAATTGGAGTTACAGATGTTTTTGAGCCAAAGTGTGGATGCTGGGAACTGAACTCAAGTCCTCTGCAAGAGCAATACATGTTCTCTTGACTGATGAGTCATCTCTCCAGCCCCAAAGCTATTTTCGTATTTTTCCTGAATACTATAAAAATCAGCCACATTATGTGGCTAATTGTTCTGCTACTAATCTAGAACAACAATAATAAACAAATGTTATAGCCCAAAACTTCCTGTATTTCTCATCCTAGCTGAAAAAACAACTTAAAAAATGTTTCCTTGTCTCTGCTCCAATACACAGGAGTAGCACTTGCTTCTCAAGGTTAGAAATAAAATGAAATGTGTTAGACTTTGCAGTGGATTCTTTGGCTGGTTTGTTTGTTTTCAGAACAGGGTTTCTCAGTGTAGCCCTAGCTGTCCTAGAACTCACTGGGTAGGTCAGGCTGGCCTTGAGCTCAGCAGCCAGTCTTCCTTTCCCTCCCAATTGCTGGAATTAAAGACATATGCCAGCACTACCCGGCTGCAGTGGATTCTTGGTAGTAACTACAGTAAGGACAGCTGATAGGAATGCTTAAGTTGTTTTAGGCACTACCTTACATTTTCTTGATAATAATCTCATGATTATGTTTCTTTCAGGAAAGGAAATGCAGACATGGAGAGGTTAAACAACTTCTCTAGTGTCACATAGCTACTAAAGCCATAGAGTTTTAATGCAGGGAAAGCTGCTTAAATTTAAGCTTGTGTGTAACTATAAAGAAATGCATGCTGACAATGATAGAACACAGTTAGTAGGCATGAGGACAAAAATTTGAACATGACCTTAGATGTTAGGACAATGAATAAGTCCGGCAGGTTGAGAAGAAGTGCCTGGGCATGCCCATATGTGGGAATAGCAAAATGGGGAGCTAGGGTAGGGGAGGGATGCTGTGTCTGTAAGTGAATGTAAGTAAGTGGGGTATGTGGCTTCTTCATTCAAGGCTACGAAAGTGGAGAAGACATAGGCACATTTTGGGAATCCTAATATTTTTTAGGTGAAGCTCTGACAGACAATTCTATTTCTCTTGGTGGAAGCATCTAGCAAGAATGTAGCTTCCAGTTGTCAACAGCAAGTGAATTCTGCATGTTCACGTTTTATTTCTTGTCACTTCCTAGTTGAACTTAACATCTGTTCTTAATATTAGTTTTGAGACAGAGACTCATCGCCTAGGCCAGGTGAGACTCAAACTCATGATCCTCCTACCTCAGCCACCCAAGTGCCAGGACTACTGTAGGTTTGTGCCACAACATCTGGCTTTCTACACCCTCCTTTGTTTAGAATTGTTTGTGCCTGTTATTGGTATGATGTCATGTAGCAGCATATGTATACTACATATCTAGAAGAAAATGAAATATTAAACTCCATGTCTAAATAACTTTATAAGTTGCAGTAGCTTTTAACTAAAACCAACACTGACCTTTGGTTGGAATTGTTAGAATGATGAGACAAGGTTTTGTTGACTTAAGAGAATTTTCCACTTAACTCTTTCTCCAAGATTCTTATTTGAGTTCCGTTTTATGTCCTCTATGCATTCTGTGTGTGTTGGCGCAGACACTTGATGGTTATGGTATGTAGGTGGTTGCTGAGAATCTCATTTAGGGGATAGCGTAGGCAATAATTTCTCTCTCTCTCTCTCTCTCTCTCTCTCTCGTTCTCTCTCTCTCTCGTTCTCTCTCTCTCTCGTTCTCTCTCTCTCTCTCTCTCTCTCTCTCGTTTCTCTTATAACTACTGAAATGGAGTTAGTTTTAGGGTGGATTCTATGGCGGTGCTAACTCTCAAGTAATAAAGAGACATGAATAGACCGAGTACTCTTGGTCACCAAATCACAGCTCACTAGTCATAGTATTTTCTTCACTTGTATTAGGCATGTAGAGCAGCAAGCCACTGTTCTTTGTCATGTGGTTCTTAAGTAATCTTTATCTTAGGTCACAGATTTTTTTTGCTGTTTTATCTTTGTATAAATAAATTGAGCACTGACTTGAAATATGTTTTGGTGCATGCCATAGCTGTCAAGCTTTGTTGAAGTGGTGTTTATTTAAAACTATTCATAAACTAATTAGAAGGCCAAAATCAGAACCCATCAAATGAATAGGCATGCTTTTTGGAAACCCCAAACAACGAAGAAGGGTGACTTTCAAGTGTCAAATTCAAAGACTGAATGAAGATCAGTACCTTCAATTTGGTACCTAATACTTGAAAGCCAATTTCTCTAAAACCATAGTAAAGCCGTTGGAATAACTTGGTCCAAATTAAAATAGCTTAGCAAACATATTTCCCATCCAAGTACTAATCAGGCCCCATCCTGCTTAGCTTCCGAGATCAGATGAAATTGGACGTGTTCAGGGTTGTGTGGCCTTAGACAGGAAACCTATCTCAATGGTGGTGGCTCTTGTGCAATTGAAAATGTTTGAAAGTCTAACAGTCTATGGCACAATGTGTTATGAAAGTTAAGTACGACTCATAACTTTGTAGATGAAAACAATAATGGGAATTTATCTTTAGCATAAAGGTTTATTCAGTTGAGGAAGAATAATAACCTTAAGATCAACCCTTCTCTTAAAATGGCCTGTGTTAAAGACTAGACACGGTCAGGCTGAATGTTGTACTTCTTTGTGGCTATTCTCAAGTGTCTTTTTCTAAAACATGTATTGCCCAATAAACTATGTATCTTTAAAATATATATTTATCCTTCGAGAAGTTCATATATGCATGCAATGTATTTTGATCATATTCATTTCCTCCCACTCAGCTCCTTCTAGTTCTCACGCCCAACTCCTCCCAACTTCTTGTCGTCCTTTTTATATTGCCTATCAAGTGCAGCTTGCA